AGGCTAAAACCAAAAAGCACAGCACTGGCTTCTGCTCAGCTTCCGGTGAGGGTCTCGGGCTGCATCACAACATGGAGGAGAAACAGAAGAGGAGAAGTGTGCAAACAGAGGGCAAAGCACAACAGGCAAACTCACTTTATAACAACTCGCTCTGGTGGGAACCAATACATTCCTGGGAGAACTAACCCAATACTGCAAGAAGTGCATTAATCTCCTCATGTGGGTAGATCCCTTATGACCCAAACATTTCTTAAAAGCCCCACCACTTCTAAATAGCATTACATTGACAATAACATTTCAACGTAAGTTTTGGCAGAGATTAATCACATCCAAATCATAGCGATGGGATACTGTAGACAAAGAGCTTTGGGTGTGAATGGCTGCAGGTCAAAATCTATTGCTATTATTCATATTGTCTTTCAAAAGAAAACAAAGTAAAAACAATATATTAAAAATGCATTTTAAAACACTCACTCTACTTTTAGATGTTAGTAAATTTATAAATGTTTCCTTGTATTTTTTGGTACCAATAATACAAAAGAGAAATTACTGAATTAGTATGTATGTTGTTAGATCCATATATGTATCTATCTGGAATGCATGTATGTGTGTATATATCTATATGTACATATCACACAAAAACATATACAGGCAAACCTAATGCTTCTCATATGTCTTTGAAGAGTAAGAAAGAACTGTACTACAATCAAAGTATATGGTAAGCTCTAATCTTTTTGCAACATTATCTAATTTATATAGTTTGAAATATGTATGAGCCTTTGGTTTGGTAATGCAATTCTGAGGGCTTGCCACTGAGAATATAATCTTTATGGATCAATGCATAATTTATTCCTTTAAGTGTAGTATTAGTACTTCAAATTGATATTTTTTCCAAAAAATATATATATGTAAACTTTTCCTAGGCATATGTCAATTACCCATCTGCCTTTTGGAGTCTTCCAAAGAATAAAATGGAAAGGAAATTTAGTTTAATGCTTTGCTTTCTCTTACAGAGAAACATTTCTAATATCTAAAGTGGAAATTTCATGAGGAAAAAGTCCTACTTTGGATTTCCAACTCTAATGTAAAACTATGGTATGCCCCCAGCTGAATCATAAAGTGAACCTAGAGTTCTATTCAACTACAAATGGACCGTCTTCCCTTTTCAGTTTTCACCTGTGAGCAGGGCAGGATGTGGCACCATAAATGGGAGCTAAGTCCATTGCTCTCTTCTCAAAAGAACTGCCACAGGCAATTCTTCATTAACAATTTATGTGGCCTGTGCCCTCACTGTCACAGCTCCCTGAATGGTGATCTGGGCCAGAATCAAGGCAGACATTTTCACGTCTAGCAGTCTTGGGATCAGACCAGCACACGCACTCAAGCTAGAGATAAGAAAGTAGGAAGAAGCAGAGATGGAAAACCTAAGTGTTGATCACTGAGTTTCATTCTTTAAATATATTATTTTCACTTCTCACAAGACCCACTAATTTATGATTGAAACACTGACAAGCAGAAAGATTTAGAAAATCTTCCCAATATCATCTAACTAACGAGTGGCTAGGCAGGGATTCACACAAATCTCTGTCGGACTCCACAGCTGCCCAGCTAATTAGATTTTGTCCATGCTGATAAACATTATTAGCTGTACGTAGATTACTTCCTGTAAGTGGGAAAAGTGCAGCACCTCATTGGTCAATTGACAGAATGGAAAATTCTGAAATTCTCAAAAATTGAGGATTTTTTTTTTGAGATGGGGATCTTGCTCTATTGCCCCAGCTGGTCTGAACTCCTAGGCTCAAGCAATCCTCCCTCCTTGGTCTCCCATAATGTTGGGATTACAGGCATGAGCCACCATGCCTAGCCAGAAATTGAGGATTATGTCTTATTTATCTCTGCATCCCTTATAGAAACTAGCTAAATGTTAATTCTCCAAGTGTTCAAGAAATAATGGTTAAATGGGTGATCCATAAATTGGAATATACATATATATATACTTTTTTTTTTTTTGAGACGGAGTTTAGCTCTTGTTACCCAGGCTGGAGTGCAATGGCGCGATCTCGGCTCACCGCAACCTCCGCCTCCCGGGTTCAGGCAATTCTCCTGCCTCAGCCTCCTAAGTAGCTGGGATTACAGGCACGTGCCACCATGCCTGGCTGATTTTTTGTATTTTTAGTAGAGACGGGGTTTCACTATGTTGACCAGGATGGTCTCGATCTCTTGACCTCGTGATCCAGCTGCCTTGGCCTCCCACAGTGCTGGGATTACAGGCTTGAGCCACCGCGCCCGGCCTGGAATATATTTTTTCATCTTGCTTTAGTTAGAAATGCCATTAAAACAGTACAAGTAAATGTGCAAGTATAAGATATACATTTAATTTTTTGAACATGCTGGTGATTTTACAATGATGTAACACAGAAATCATTAGCTGCCTGTTATATAAATTCACTGTCCTGCCCCCACCATCAACTACTTTATTCAGAGATAAATAAATTATGGGCCAATTGTATTTTTTTAATGGCTTTGACTTTTTTGTATCTCAGAAATATGATTTAGAAGCAAATTTTTAAGATTGTAGACAACATCTCTGGAGAAGAAGACTTTATCATATGTCTGATCATTGAAAATCCAAACATCAGCATAAGGAATCTGTTAATGAGATGTCAAAGCCTGTATATCTGCTTATGAGTGTCTCACTGTTTGCCAAAATAAAACAAAATCTAATAATAGAAAAAGTTTATGTAATGCATTACTGTTTACAAAGCATTTTCCTAAGTTTCTCAAATTAAGGTACTTGTTCTTCATAGCAGAAATCAAAACATAAACACAGTTAAGTGACTGTCAAGTTGTGTGAAATATTTTTATATGAAAACAAATGGATCTTTGATAGATATGTATTCTCCTTTTTTTTTTTTTTTTGGCTCCTGTAGATTCATTTTTAAGACATAAAAGAGAAGACCTCAATAAAATTGTTCTGTAATGTGTTCTTTACTTTTCTCCCAATTCCTCACCTACCTATCATGAAAAATCATGGTGAAAGCATCTGAGAAAAACTACTATATATTATCTCCTTTTGTCTTCTGGAGAGCTCCATGATGTAATTGTGTTTATGATAGTTTACAGGTAAGTAAAGAAGCACTGAGAAGTTAATTCCATCATAGTGGAGAGAAAAAGTTTTAAAGAACATTACCTTTTCCAGGAAGAATCTCTTTTTACCTCTTTGCAAACTCAACTATTTATAGCACATTATCAATATCCTATGTGAGATTTAAGAGTGCTCTGGAACTCTTGTGAAGGAATCCATGTGAACATGGATTGCTGTATATGGAATGTATAAAACAGAGATAGAATTATATTCATTCTCAACCTACTTTCTCTTAACCAACTCTGCTACTAATCAATATTCTTTCTTCTCCCTATAAAATGTTACATATTCGCTTTCTGTAAAGTATAAAGAAAATCTACCATGGTGATTTTCAAAAAGCGATCCCTGGGCCAGCAGCATCACCATCACCTGAAAACCTGTGAGAAATGCAAATTCTCAGGCCCCACTCCAGATCTATTGCACCTAAAACTCAGGGGATGAAGTTAAGAAATCTGTTTTAACAAGCCCTCCAAGAAATTCAGATGCTAACATTTGAGAATCACTTACTGGAAAGATTCTACTTGCACATTGTCTATACACTTTCACTTCACTTGAAAGAAACAAAAACTGCAAACTATAGACCATTAATTTATAAGTATGTGCAAAAAGAACTACATTGTATTTCTCAGTAGGTGGAATAGCCCTTATCCCTTTATAAAAAGATTGCTGGATGGATGTCATATATATATATATATATATAGACACACACACAATTTTTCATATTTTCTTACCTTGGCAATATTTTTCACTAACTGACCAGGGATTTCTCTATATAAAAGTAGAGACAGACAATAGAGAGATGATAGATGGTAGGTAGATTGATAGGTAGGTAGGTAGGTAGGTAAGTAGACAGATAGATAGGTGTGTGTGTGTGTGTGTGTGTGTGTGTGTGTGTGTGTGTGAAGTAAGGGTATAAGCACGCCTCTGAAAATCCCTTAAGATGCGCACAGAGGGCATTCAAATGCCCTCTTTTTAAAATGTCTACACTTGAAGTATATCTTCAAATTAAATAAAGAAATGTGATGTTGAGAACTAAGAAAAAACAATCTGCCGATTCGGGGGTCTCATGGCACAGAGGAGCTGGGAGAGCTGCCCCATGAAGTGTGCAGGGAGAAACAGAACTCCCACCTGGGCAGAAGACATAGCTCCTATATCTTGCCCCTTAGGCCAAGCTCCTGGAATCAGGGTTACACCTAGTTGACTGAAGAAAAGCCTTTTTTGTTGTTGTTGTTGAGAAAGAGTCTTGCTGTCACACAAGCTAGAGTACAGTGGCATTATCTCAGCTCTGCCTCCTGAGTTCAAGTGATTCTCCTGCCTCCACCTCCCAAGTAGCTGGGTTACAGGTGCCCATCAGCACATGCCTGACTAATTTTTGTATTTTTTTAGTAGAGACAGGGTTTCACCATGTCTGGCCAGGCTGGTCTCGAACTGCTGACCTCGTGATTTGCCCTCCTTGGCCTCTCCAATGCTGGGATTACAGGCATGAGCCACTGTGCCCAGCCTAAAGAAAAGCTTTGAGCAGACTAGTCTAGATGACAACTTGTATTAGTCCATTCTCATGCTGCTATAAAGAACAGCCTGAGACTGGGTAATTTTAAAAGAAAGAGGTTTAATTGACAGTTTAACATAACTGGGGAGGCCTTAGGAAACTTACAATCATAGTGGAAGAGGAAGTAGGCACATCCTTCTTCACACAGCAGCAGGTGAAACAGAAGTGCCAAGCAAAGGAGAAAAAGCCCCTCATGAAACCATCAAATCTCGTGAGAACTCACTATCACGAGAACGGAATGGAGGTAAAACCACCCCCATGATCCAATCACCTCCTGCCAGTTTCCTCCCATGGCCACATAGGGATTATGTGAACTACAATTCAAGATGAGATTTGGGTGGGGACACAGCCAAATCATATCAAAACTGCTCCATGAATACTTCCATCTGAGAGTACTTTAGAGACTGTCCATACTAGCTTTGCCCAGGCCTGCCAATCATGTGAGTGGGATCTTTTCCCTCGCCAATGCCTCGTGAGACACCACCACAACTCTCGTAATTCCCCTGGAGACCCTCCATCACCATCACCATCCCTTCTCTATGTCTTTAAGAAAAACAAAGGAGATATAAGTAGTTTTGCCCCTCAAGGAATCACAAGCCTCTCTCTGTGTGTATCTCTTCTCTCTCTCTCATTTCATCTTCACCTGTCTTAGGGATCAAGACCACCTGCTACAGAGGCAAGCTAAAATCTTTTACTGTTGGACTGAAATCCTTTTCTACAGCAAACAGATATGCTACTTAGTAATTCAGAATTCAGTATGTTCTCCACAACACAGATATTTTAAAAGACAGTGAAGTCAACAGAACAAATGAAAAACAAGAAGACTTTCTTCAAGTGAATGTAGACCTACTCTCTCCAAAACTAAACCTGAAGCTTTGTGCTAAGAGTTATGGGGGAGGGAGTGGAGCAGGCCGAAGAGGGGAAGTAACTGTATTTATTGCCAAATGCCTACTATTTAAGCTCTCTGCCTTTGGGCTTTTTTTTTTTTTTTTTTTAATCTTAAACACATTCCTTTCAAAGAACTGTGAGTGATTAAACATTATTGCTTCAAAGATACCCTAACATTATTTAGTGGTTGGTTTTAGAAAAAAGCAAGAGGAAACTGTTTCTGCTAGTACTGAGTGATAGCTCAACACCATTTAACTGGGCTTTAGGGAACAAAGCCTTCTAATTACCCAGGTGTCAATCTAGTCCTCTCACTTCTGGCTTCCTTCCCTAGCTATACAAGAAGCAGAAAAATATTCTGAGTATGAGTCCGGGGTACAAAATTTACATCCTACAGGACACAGTTTGGTCTACATTGGGCAACTGATCACAAATCTAGGATTTGGCAATGCTCCTCTTTGCATACTAGCTGCACAGGTACATAGTGGTGGGAAGGGAACAGTAATTATCACTTTGCTGGGTTTGACTTACCTTTGCCCAGTAGTGGATATAAAGCTACATTTCTTGACAGAAAATGGTCACACAGAGGAAATCAACTTTAAGGGTTATGACTGAAAAGAAGACATGAAAGGTTTGAATAAGGAAAGTGTTTGTTTTATGGGAAAAATCATATGCTGCATTTGTGTTATCAAATCTTGAGATTCAAAAGAACTGAAAGCAAGAACCCAAACAGATGCTTATACACCCATGTTCATAGCAGCGCTATTATAATAGCCAAATGATGGCAGCAACCCAAATGTCCATCAACAGTGAATGGATAAACAAAATGCAGTATACACACATAATGGAATATTATTCAGCCTTAAAAGGAAATGAAGTTCTGATTACATGCTGCAAACATGGATGAACCTTGAAAACATTATGGTTATGCTAAGTAAGCAAGCCAGACGCAAAAGAATCAACATTGTGTGATTCCACTTACATATCTAGAATAGTCAAGTTCACAGAGACAAAAAGTGGCATCATGATGACCAGTGGCAGGGAGGAAAGAATGGGGAGGTATTGTTTAATAGGTAGTGTTAATATTTGAGATTTTAAAAAAGCTCTGGAAATAAATAACCGTGGTTGTTGCACATGTAGGAGACAAAAAAATATCCTTTGTCTCTATCCCTTTGGGTTCTCTGCCTGGGACACTGTAAATTAGACTAACAAAAGACAGATTAACAAGAAAAAATACATAAAAATTTATTTAATGTAAGTTGTATGTGACCAAGGAGCCTTCATAAAGAAATGAAGACAAAGCAACAATTAAGCTTGTGCATTTTTCTGCTAGATTTGAAGAAGAGTAAAATGTCATGGAAAAATGTCATAGGACAAAGGCTATTACTACCCTTATGAGCTAAGGGTAGTAAACTGGGGAAAACAGCAAGGCCTATTCATTCAGATTGCTCTTGACATCCCTCCATCTTCAGAGGTAGGGATGCTCTTTTCCTCTGAGTATAGCAAGGGCACCTCTCACATGAGGGTCTTGTGACCTGCTTCAAGGGAGAAGTGGGAGGTCCGAGAGTCCTTCCTGCACCTGCTATTTCTCAAATTCCTTCAGCTTAAAATACTCAATATGCCAGAGTGTCACATTTTGGGACAGTGTGTTCTGAACCATATCATACAACATTGTGAATGTTCTTAATGCCATTGAATTGTATACTTAAAAATGATTACGGCCAGCTGTGGGGGCTCTCAGTTATAATCTCAGCACTTTAGGAGGCCGAGGCGGGTAGATCACCTGAGGTCAGGAGTTTGAGACCAGCCTGGCCAACATGGTGAAACCCTGTCTCTACTAAAAATACCAAAAATTACCCAGGCGTAGTGGTGGGTGCATGTAATCTCAGCTACTCAGGAGGCTGAGATAGGAGAATCGCTTGAACCTGGGAGGCAGAGGTTGCAGTGAGCTGAGACTGCACCATCGCACTCCAGCCTGGCAACAGAGCAAGACTCTGTCTCAAAAAAAAAGAGTGAGAGATTACAATGGTAAAGTTTATGTCATATGTGTTTTATCATGATTTTCAAAAATGAAAGACAAAAATTTGAGATTTATGAAGGCCCATAGAATGGGCACCCAGTGAATGTCAAAAGTCTATGACATTGTTTTTAAATGTAATAAAAAACAAAAATGAACAAACAGATATACACAAAATTCTTTAAGAAATTATATAGAATCTCATTTTTTAAAGAAATCTCACAATATAGCATGTTAAGTAAAAGTCTGAAATCTGAAAAAGCATTAATAAAATATTGTAGGGGAGGAAAAAAACACCTTTGTTTTTTACCCATCTTAGGTTCACCGGCTGGGGCTCCTGGAACAAAAGACAGAACCATAGAAATGTATGTTTTGTGTGACACTGGAGCCTTCAATAGGAAATGAAAACCTGAAGAAGGGGTTAAAACTGGGTGCTTTAATGTGAGGTTTGATGAAGAGTAGACAGTCATGGGGAAATGTGATAGCATAAAATGTGCAGGTGCTAATTACAATAAACTAGGGGAAACCACGAATCCATTCAGATTCCTCTCAGCATCCCTGTGTCTTTGGAGATATGGATGCTCCTTTCCTCCAGGTATAAGGAGGGCACCTCTTACATGACCTGCTTCAGGGAAAGTCAGAAAGTCCTTCCTGCATAGTACATTTCTCAAATTCCTTCAGCTTAAAATATTCAATATGCCAAGGTGTCATATTTTGGGCTGGTGTGCCCTGAACTTCATCAGTATTATAGAACAAAGCTATTCTAAACTCACAGTAAGTGGACGCATTGTCACTATCAAATTATATATGAGTACTGCGATGGCTATCAAAGTTTAATAAACTAATTTTGCTGATGAATTTTAAAGATGACAATACAGAAAGCAAAAACACAAAAAATCAGTGACAAAATAAAGCACAGAGTATGGCCAGCTCTGCAGAAGTGAGAGCAGCAGTTGAGTGGTCTGGGATGACAACTGTTGGAAAAGCTAAAAATAGAGAATTTAATGTGGTATGAAAGTAACTGTGTGCAAAACTTGATGTCAATTCATGAAGTATCATGCTATGGCGTTCTTTGCTCTCATTAACACTGAGGAATATTGAGACCGGAGAGTTCCCTTGACCCTTGACCCCCTCACGGGACTTGAAACAGGGGTATCTCCTTTGATCAACCACTGTGCTCAAATCCCTTATAGGAGGGGGAGCACGCAGGTTAGCAGGTGTAGGAGTGAGGAATGAACCCCACTGGCCCACCACAATGTCTAGGGTTTGCTGGCGACCTCTGGAACCCCAAAGGGCATGTGTTATAAACAATGATATTTTAGCATTTGCCATCTACAGATGGTTAAGTGTTAAACCAGGTCAGTGACAGCCTTTTACACCCTGCCCTCTTGGTAGCTGGGTTCTTGTCTAGCATACAGGAAGAATCAGGGCAGACAAACTAGAAGGATAATGAATGTGGAGATTTTACTGAGCAGTAGAAGTGGCTGTCAGCAGGATGGGGAGCTGGAAAGGGAATGGAATGGGAAGATAATCTTACCCTAGAGTTCTGCTGGAGACTGCCAAACTCCTCTTCAACCGTCTCTGGTCGAATTCCTCTCTGACTGTAGTCTCCAATGTCCAGCCTCTTCTCTTCTTGACATTCAGACACTTCTCTTTTTCTCTGCCACACCACCCTCTGCTCCTCTGTCAGTGGAGCTGGGGGATTTTATGGGCACAGGATGTAGGGGTGGCAGGCCAAAAGGCAATATTTGGGCAGAAAAACAGGGATGTGAAGTTCTCATTTAGGAAAGCAGGTCCAGGTTGAGGGTGAAATCCTTGCTGGAAACCCCACCCTTTTCTACCTAGCATTTCCCTGACTTCTGTTCATATCAGTATTACCGATCATGATGGGGAGGAGTAATTGCGACTGAATGCCAAGGAAAATTGTTTGGGCCAAGAAGCTTTGATACGTTCAGTAGAGGATGTGGGACAGAAAGTTTTGATCCCTTCCCTCGTCCATCATAACGGTCATGGCCAACACTCCTATAACAAAAGACAGTACACATACACCATGGAATACTACACAGCCATAAAAAAGAAAAACCCTCATGTCATTTGCAACGTGGACACAGCTAAAGGCCATCATCCATGTGAATTAATGAATTAACACAGAACAGAAAACAAAATACCACATGTTCTCACAAGTGGGAGCTAAACATTAAGCACACATGGACATAAAGAAGGGAAAAATAGACACTGAGGACTGCTAGAAAAAGGGAAAGTACCTTTTGGATACTATGCTCACTGCCTGGGTGACAGACCATCTCTACCCCAAATCTCAGCATCACGCAACATATTCATCTAACAAATCTGCACACAGACCCTCTGAAACAACAACAAAAAATAAGCGGTGGGGGGGGGGCAGGTTAACAAGAAAAAGGTATAACAAAGTTATTTAATCAAGTTTTAGATGACAAAGATGGAGTCTTCATATATCAAACTTTGAGATTCAAGGACTCAAAGACCCAGGGGAAAGTCTCTGTTTTTATGTTTATGTTCAATGAAGAATAGACGGCCATGTAGAAATGAGACTGGACAAAGGGCATGATCTAGTGGTAAGACCGAAGGCGTGAAAACCCAGCAAGCCCGGTCTGTTCCAATTCACCTTGGCCTCTTCGTGTAGCATCCTTCCTGCTGGCTACAGGGAAGGGCTCCTTTGGAATGAGGGTCTTCTTTTTGGCTTGCTTTGGAAGAGAGGAGTTGTAGTTTCTATAACCTGCCTTGGGGAAGAGAAATCCTGGATTCTATAACTTGTTTTGGAAGAGAAGGAGAGACAGAGGACGAGAGATCAAGAGAAGGTCAGAGAGAGATTTTGCTTCTGAAGCAGCTTCTAAGGCCTTCTGATCTCTAGTTCAAAGTGCTCAGCCATGCCAAAGCTCCATGTTTTGGGGAGTCGCTTTCTGAGCCCCAACAAGGAGATATGAGAACAGGTACTGGCAGGAAGCTGCCCACACAGGGGCAAAGGTTTGGACAAGTTTTAAAGAGGAGAAACAGACAATTTCTGGCAGCGATGCAGAGCAAAACGCAGCAGGATTTGGCAAGTGGAGCCAGGTAGGAAATGTAGAAAGAAAGATAATTGAAAGACAACAGTGAGTCAATGAGTCTTTAATCTGATAGCCAGAAGGAAAAGGTGAGGAAAATAGAAGATAGTTGCAATCAAAGCAAAAGTATTGTTACTATTTAATTATTTAGCAGTATGTTAAATGTAATGACCTAAATCTCTGCAAGGTTTTTTTTGTTTGCTTTTGAGACAGGATCTCATTCTATTGCCCAAGCTTGAGTGCAATGGTGTGATCCTAGTTCACTGCAACCTGAAACTGCTAAGCTCAAGCAATCCTCTGCCTCACCTCCTGAGTGGCTGGGACCACAGGCATGTGCCACCAAGCCTAAGTTTGTTAAAATATATATTTTAAAAATGAGGATTTCTCTATGTTGCCCAGGCTGGTCTCAAACTCCTGGGCTCAAGCCATTCTCCTGCATCAGCCTCTCAAAGTGCTGTGATTACAGGTGTGAGCCACCACACCTGGCCATCTCTGTAAGTTCTAAAGGTGTAAACAGCAAAGGCAAGGAAATAAGCTGAAACACCCAAAATTCTCCTTTCAAAAGAAATGTCTTATCCAACCACACACAATACACGTTTATGCTATTCGTTGAGTGTTTTTTGTTTTCCTCAAAGCTTTGGAGGATTTTATTGAGATCTTCATTCATGACTTTGAGCCACATTTGAGGCCTCTTTGTTTGTGCCCTGGTGTGGAAAAGCCTCCTGTACTACACAGGGTTCCAAATAAATAATGAGACATATCCTGGGTCCATGCTTTTGTGTTACGCACCATAATAAAAATAGCATGCTTGGTGCACCAAATAAATAATGTGTTGAGATGTTACATTACACCACATAAATCGATAAAAACAAATGTCTTTCAGCACAATAATTTTGTCTCAAACTCTAACCACGTAACAGAAAATAGATTTCCTGTGTTCCTGAGCCTGGATTGTAAACAGCACCACACCAGTAGACTCTGTTTATTGTTTTGTGTAAGTTCAGAGGGAGAGCGGATTGTTTACTAGAACAAAATCCTTTAAAAAGAAAAAAAAACTGGGATTCTTATCTTTCATTTATTGTTAATAACATACTACAGATATTTGTCAATCAAATTAGAATCACTGTCAGCCCATAATGCATTTTAGTTTAGCCAATATCAGTCAGTCCTGATTTATTTGCTTAATACAAATCTAATTGAGTTTCAGGCTGCTCTTTTCCTTTCAGCTGTTAACCGACCAAGTACATCTTTAATTTCCAAGACCGATGGTGTGGTAGCAGTTGAGAGGAAGGGCGATTTGCATAAGGCCCCAGAAGGGTGCCAAAACTCTTCACGCTTTAAACAACAGCCTTTATTATTCTGTAAGTGGATGTGTTGAATTTTCATGCTTTTGTTTCCAGTTCAGTCCTGACAGAAAAGAATAAAGTAGATTTTGCCAGCACCCCTGCTGTGCCCTGGGGGAGAAATTCAATGTGCCTCATTTGTCTTAATTGGAGAACCGCCCTCAGCACCAGCTTTTTCTATGAATACATTAGCATAACAGACAGAAAATTCAAGCCCACTTTTGTAGAAATAGTCTCCCCCACACACCCACCTCCCATTTTTAAGACTAATAAAAACTGCAAGAGGGGAGAAGTGTGTGTTTCATCTCCTGAATTTCTTAGAGTTGCTGTTGTAAAATTCTCTGTACAGGAAAGATGCATCAAGCCTATTTTATCTCTGCACTGTTATTAGGGCCAGTCGTGGAAAATGTGATAAATATCATCCATGACAGACAGCTGAAAGCTTCTCTTTATTCTTCATAATGTGCTAATCCTATATACTTGTTCGTTGACTGGTTATGCTGCTTTTTCAGAGGGGAGAGTAGGTTTTATACAGAGATGAATGTGTAGCAGCTATGAATGAATCTAGAAGAAAAAAAGAAAAAGACTCACCAAGGTGAATTTATTAAAACTAAAACAAACGCAATTATCTCAGTCAAAGCAAGATTCTAAACCCTGTGCCAATTCATTGGAGAAATATTAAATTCATCTTCACGTTTTTCATATTACAAAAGGGCTCTAAGTCTGGACAAACAACCTGTGCTGTGTAAATCATTTCCCTAATCCAGGCTCTTTCAGTATCAGATTGAACTAATGGAATTTAAAGGTAGGTATTTCAAAAGAAATATTTCGTCTACGTCTTCCCAAGACTGGTATTAATTCTTTCATCACATCTGCTCAACCTGCTTGCCATTGCCAGCATGTGAAAGAGAAAAGGAAAATATGGGGAAAGATGTAATTTCTTAATAAAACGTGGTGTACACATTCTCTTGGAAAGATGGCTGCCTTTCAAAAAAACAATGAATCCATATTTTGTCTTGATTTTTTCTCCAGCAGGCCTAATTTACCACGTCAGTCACAGACTGCTCTCACTAGACGCCTTCCAGGGATTTTAAATAAGGTTTTGTTGCTGTTAAGGGCTTGCTTTGTTTTGAATTATTTGTATGCCCATTTAAAAACAAAATACCTTTTGGGTCAGGTCCTTGTGGGTAAATGGAAAGCAAAATCATTTTGGAATAATAATTTTGAGAAACAGAAGCTTCTGCGGCCTAGAGAAAAGCAAACAGTTCTTCCTTCTGTGTAAATCCTCATTGTGTCACCCATTTCAAATGCCTGGTAATACTAATGGGAAGCCTGAAGGCAAAGCTGACGCACTGTCAGGCTCCCATCCCCCTTCCTCCACCCACCCCTCAACTTTCCACTCACTCAGCCCCAATAAACATTCCAAGACGCTATCAGTATTAGGGACTAGGAAGGAAATGCTTGCTGTCTAGCATAAGTGAATCTAAAATATAATTATTAGACTTGATTTGTCCTGCAAGTGGACGTCAGCTTTTCACCTTGCTATCGGTTTCATTTACATTGTAAAACTGACGAGCAGGTTAGCCAGTTTATCAGATAGTTTCTGCTCCTCTTTAAACAAGCATTCTAGCCACTGTGAGTTCTTCCTTGAATCCTCCTCCCCACACTCTCCCTGTAACTCAGTTTGATGTCTTGTCTGGGATCTGAACTCACATCTATTTCGCATGGCTAAGCCTGTTCTGCACATCAGTCAGAGAGCCGGCCCCCTGTGAATACTTGAGGCTTTATTCCATACTATTTTATTTCTTCTTTCTTTCTTTCTTTCTCGAGACAGGATCTCACTCTGTCACCCAGGCTGGAATGCAGTGTGGCAAACACAGCTCACTGCAATCTTCACTACCCAGGCTCAAAGGATCCTCCCACCTCAGCCCCCCAAGTAGCTGGGACCACAAGCACATGCTGCCGCACCTGGCTAATTTTTCTATTTTTTCTGGAGAGAGGGGTTTTCTGACATATTGCCCAGGCTCTTCTCAAACTTGTGGGCTCAAGTGATGCTCCCACCTTCCCTCCCAAAGTGCTGAGATTACAGGCATGAGCCATAGTGCCCTAACTATATCCCATACTATTTTATTGCTTTAAAAAGTAAATAAAATACTGAACTTCCAGAATTTTCATATTATTGCTTTCTCATCCTATCACCTTTCAAAAATTATTCCTATCGTCGTTCAAAAATTATGAGAGAAGGCCAGGCGTGATGGCTCATGCCTCTAATCCCAGCACTTTGGGAGGTTGAGGTGAGCAGATCACCAGAGTTCAGGAGTTCGAGACCAGCCCGGCCAACATGGAGAAACCCCATCTCTACTAAAAATACAAAATTAGCCGGGCATGGAGGCGCATACCTGTAATCCCAGCTACTCAGGAGACTGACGCAGGAGAATCCCTTGAACCCGAGAGGTGGAGGTTGCAATGAGCCAAGGTCACACCATTGCACTCCAATATGGACAACAAGAGCGAAACTTTGTCTCAAAAAAAAAAATAATGATAATTACAAGAGAAATGGGATGAGGCACAGAATTGAAGACTGAATTAAAGCTTTCCTCGGGAAGTTGTTGCTATTATTCTTAAACATGTTTTGCTTTTAAAGATTGTTCTTTGACATAAGCTTTCCATTCGTGAAGAAAAAAAAAAAGACTGTTCTTAACATTTGCTATTGTGAGAGTAATATGTGTTCATTGTATTAAAATGAGAAAATTCCAAAACTCATTTTTAAAAAGGGATAAAAGTCACTCATATTTCTTCGCTGTTTTTTGCTTTTGTTTTTATTTGTTTTTTGTAAAGGAAGATCTGGCTCTGTTGCCCAGGCTGGAGTGCAGTAGTGTGATAACAGCTCACTGCAGCCTCAAACTCCTGGTCTCAAGTCATCCTCCTGCGGCAGCTGGGGCTACCGATGGGCACCACCACACCTGGCTAATTTTTTATTTTGAAGAGACAAGGTCTCACTGTGTTGCCTTGGCTGCTCTCGAACTCCTGGGCTCAAGAAATCTGTTAGTGCTGTGGCTCATGCCTGTAATCCTAGCACTCAGCTTTCCAAAGTGCTAGGATTACAGGCATGAGCCACTGCACCAGGCCATGTTTCTTTATACTGCTCCAGTTTCTGAGAAAGACCCCAAGTTTTTCATTGACATACTGGCAAATTGGTATTTCAAAATGTGCTAATGACCAAGACTATCTCCTTGACCAAGTGTGGCTCCTTTGAGTTCTATTTTTCAATTAGGCCCTGTCCTTGGGCATGCCCTCTGGACCCCTGTCTTAACAAGAATTCTATCAAGTCAGTTCAGCTAGAATCTTTGACCCTTAGT